CAAAATCAAGCCAAATTAGCGATACTTGAACAATTTAGCCTATCACTAATATTCTCAAGTTTTATGGTTCTCTCATATTTTGACAACAGTGAACATATGGGGTTGAGTCAGTAGAAATCAAGCAAATTTTTCAAAGTAAATTTTTTTCAAACTTTAAACAACAATAACTTAGCAAAAACTTAATTAAATTTAATAAAATTTTTTTTAATAAATCTTACAAACTTATAGAATTTGTTTAAAAACATTTATTAAATTTGATCAAGTATTGGTTAAGTTATTGGTGTGTAAAGTTTTAAAAAAAATTCAATAAAAATAATTTGCTTGATTTCTATTGACTCACCCCCATATGATATTCAAATGAGTTAAGTGCAGAAATCTATATAAAAAAGTGTGATATTTCTTGGAATTGAAAATTACAAATTATTTGTGACATTTGCAGTTAGAGATTGGAATCAATGAGTTTCGAGTATTGATTGGTCACAAATTCTAGATTTTTGAGCATCGGTAAAAAATTTGACCGATGTTCGAATGCTCATTGAGTTTTTAAAAAATACATAAAAGAATTTAATATAGCATGAAATTTATCAATTGTACCATTATCTCTACATTACTTAAGTACAATTTACATGACTTATAATTTGCACATTACAAAAACTATTATCGCTACATACAATTTACATGACTTATAATTTGCGCATTATAAAAGCAACCTATACCATTACTGCTACATTATTGAATATGCATTTAAATGACTTATAATTTGCGATTTATAGCCATGCATTAATCCTAGACATCAGGAATAGTAAAATCAATGCCATTCTGCCAAATAAATAACATTCTTTTCGACTCATAACATTGCCTGCATCTGAAAGCAAGGGTTCACTTGGTGTAGTGTTTTGAACCGGTTAGGCCTTAATCGGGTAACCGATCTGAACCGAAAAATTCGGGTTAACCGGTTGAGTAAAATGCTTAATAATCGGGTGAACAGCATGATCGATTAACCCGTTATAATCCATAATCGGTCGCTCCTATAGAGAAAAATAATATAGCGGAGAGAATCATATTAATTATTAATAAAGACCAGCCTAAACAGACCGGAGAATTCTAGTTTCAGTAGGATCTCTGGTTTTAAATCAAATCTTCCACGTCCTTTTTCAAGCACAGCCTTTACTGCGTTCTATGTTTCAATTGCGTTTTGGTTGCAGAGACGTGGTGACTTGAATCCACATTTTCACAACGTACCTGATTTTGGTAGTGTGTCCTATTAACATGCTAATTCGGTTCACCCGGATAACTTAGCTTGCCGGTTAATTTCGTTTACCTGAATCAACCCAGCTAACCGAAACACTTTCGGTTAAGCCGGTTGTACCCGGTTAAGTTCGGGTTGATTAGCCGATTGACTATTTATAACTCGGTTCAAATCACTAACTTGCTGTGCTTGTTGCAGGAATTGCAAGAAATTTTCACTTAAAATCGGAAATTGCCGTTTTTGTAAAGACCAACACATACCATGGGATCTCCCTCGAAATCAAGCTAAAGAAGAGCAAGATAATTTGTAACTTTGTGTTTTGTGAGCTTGATGAAAAAACAGTAATGAACCCTTTACGGTAAACCTGTTTTTTATTTCGATTAGTTACAGAAACTAATGTGGATGTCGATGAAGTAACTTGTTTAGATAAATAGTCCGCTTCTTAAATTCTGCATACATAGCACGTAAAGTTTCTTCAACTTGATTTCGCTCATCAGTCGATAAAACATGTAATCTTTTGTATTTTGGGTCCAAGTTAGTTTTTTAACAATGTCAATTTGTTATTTATTAATCAAGCAAAAACTTATAAAATTTAAATTTGACTGATGCTCGATGATTGGATGAGTTAAAAAATTAAAACTCAATGAATGAAGTTTATTTCAATGTTCGAAATTTTCGATCGATGTTCGAATAATTATTCACCGATTCCATTCTCTATTTGCAGTGGTTGCCACTAGATGTGAAAATGTTTTAGTAAATATAATTTTAAAAAAAGTTAATCATACAAGAATTAATAATGACTAGCAAATGTTAATATCGCATATTAAATGATAGATAACAAAAGGCTAGGATTAAAAACTTGGAAATTTCAAATATGCACGTAAACAAATACTAGCACTACAAATTTTTCATTTTAATCAACTAGAAATGTTTTGTTGGTGGCTCCTGAATAAATTGAGAAGTGTTAAAATCTATTCAGACAAAAAAATGTGAAATCTATAATGGATTATCAAGCATAAATGTGATACTACGTATAGGAAACTGTTACACACACAAACTGCCTCTTGTATATTTTAGCGATGAATATGTTAGATACTTGATAACAAATACCGTGTTTACGATTAAGGAAAAATATATAGTTGTTTAATGCAATTGCGCTTTAAGAAAATTATGGTGATTTGCAGTTACGAAAAAGGCACGGCTAAATGTATATGAAGATACGGCAGTCACAAAAGGTTATTAATTAGAACAGTGCGTATGATTACTCTTTATTAGCTAATCAATAAATTGCAAACTAATGATTTCCAAGATGGACAATAAATTATTTATACTTTCAATCGAGTAACATCTATCAGCTATAGTTATATCTATGAACACAGCTGTAACGTTTGTACGAAAATTAGTATGACCGTTGGTATATTCATTCACATGAACGTTGGTATTGACGTTCATAAGAGCATTGGTATTAACGTTCACATATCGTTGATTAGTACAATAATTGTAATAAAAAAATTATAATAATGTTATAGCAATGTAAAATAAAAATTAGATGACTATAATTTGTATATACCTTATCCCGAAATATAAGGTTTTTTCCATGTGTTTGATCTGGTGGTTTTCAATAAATTTTCAATTAAAGCTTGAAAAATTTTAAATGTACCGAATTCGGATAGATAATTGTTGAGAAACTTTCGTTTAAAGTTAAAAAAAATGAAAATTTGCCCGATTTTTTCCTAACGTTTTTTTTTGAAACCTCTAGTGAATATTTCTTGACAACCACTGTACTAAATTCAATGATTCTTTTTAATTTTGCAAGAGTATGAGTTAAAATAAACAATGTTTATTGAATTTAATCAAGTGGTTATTAAATTATTAAAAGGATCAATTTTGTTAATTGGCTGTTGCTACGAAAAATAACGTAACATTTGTAAATAAGTTTTTGTGTAATTAGCGAAATAGTATATAACTAATTTGAGTCTAATAACTTGTATATAAAGATAAATATTCTTTGTAAATAGGGATAGAGTTTAGGAAGTACTTCTTTTCTTTAGTTGGTATAGAGGATATTTTAGAGGATATTTGTGTACCGGGTACACTTGATAGGAAGATACTTCCTTGTATTGCATATATTTTTTTGTACTTTTAGTGTCTTGTGCGTGATAATGAATAATTTGTTTCCTGTCTTAAATGCTTACGACCAGAGTTGAATTAGCAGTACAGTTATAAAGTCTCTCCCTTGTCGTAACACTGTTTCTTTTTAGGAATCTGTATTACCGGCACAAATAAGTAATCCGTCCTATCTGTTGTTTCCTAATGCACCATACGCCACTTTTATACAGCATACATGTGTATGTACAGTACGTCGTATACAACATATATACATATATTTGGGGTTTTAAAATATTTCGAATTGAACGATCTTTAAATTAAAAAAAACGGTTGCATATTTCATTGTTTATTTGCTGATACCAGAAATTCAAAACATAAATGAGATTTTTTAACTCTCACTTAATTTCAAAAAATTTTAATTTGGAAACACACTATTATCTGAGAATTTCCTGTGCATTTTCATTCTGATGGCTCAAAGCAAGAGTGCAGCTTATGATTATTTAATGAAGATTTTGCTGACTGGAGATTCAGGTTAGCATATAAACAAACTTAAATTATTAATTATATCTAATCGTTGTACAGTCTTAGCCTAATTTACTGCAATCACTTTTTTTGTAGGTGTTGGCAAATCAAACCTATTTCTCCGCTTCGCGGACGATTCTTTTACTCACTCTTTTATATCTACACTTGGGATCGACTTTAAAATTCGAACAATTAAGATGGATGGTTTACGAATCAAACTCCAGATATGGGATACTTCGGGTCAAGAGCGTTTTCGTATGATTACTACAGGTAAATTCTAATATTTTAATTTTCTTCAAGAATATTAACCTTTATATTAATATTTTATATTTGGTATGATTTATATATTTTTGACACTATCATGAAGCTTATTATCGTGGTCCTATGGGTATACTTCTGGTATATGATGTTACCGATGAACGGTCTTTTAACAGTATCCTTAATAGTATATTTATGGGAATTTTTCATTAAATTACTTTTACTATATTATTATTTAACATCCAATTTCATGGCTAATTAGATATAAGGAATTGGTTTTCGCTTGTAGAAAAACATGCTGATTCAAGAGTTAATAAAATCCTTATTGGAAATAAATGTGATTGGGTTGAAAAAAAGGTAATATAATAAAAAGTAATCAATTTCAACAAATTAAAAAAAAAATTTGTCTCACAGGCGATTACTAAGGAAGAAGGCCAAAAACTTGCAGATGAATTTAGAATCAAATTTTTAGAAACCAGTGCCAAAGCAAACATAAATGTTGAAGAAGCATTTTTTACATTGACCAGGTTTTATATACTGTTATTATTTATTATTTAAGTTTTTGGCCTGGTGATTTGCTAATATATTTATTCCTAATATGTTTAATCAAAGAGATATCAAAAAGCGGCTTATAGATCCACAAGAAGAATTTAGTAGATATCAAAGGTCTGCTGAGAAAGGAAATGTTGATGGGATATATAATCTTGGTCGTTGCCATGAAGAAGGAATCGGTGTTGAGAAAGATAAAAATAAAGCGTTTATATATTATCAAGAATCTGCTAAGAAAGGGAATGCTGATGGCATATATCATCTTGGTCGTTGCTATGAGGGAGGAATTGGCGTTGAGAAAGATGAAGATAAGGCGTTTATGTATTATCATAAGTCTGCTATGAAAAGGACTATTGATGGCATATATGATCTTGGTCGTTGTTATGAAGAAGGAATTGGCATTGGGAAAGACAAACAAAATGCATATATTTATTATAAAAAATCCGCGGGTATGGGACACAGGGAGGGGTTAGCAAAAATGAAAACTCCTGATGGAATGTTTTATATGGGAGTTTTTTGTGAAAAGGGAATTGAAATTCAAGAAGATAAGGATAAGGCGTTTATATATTATCAAGAATCTGCTAAGACAGGGAATGTTGATGGGATATATAATCTTGCTCGCTGCTATGAAGAAGGAATCGGCGTTGAGAAAGATAAAAATAAGGCGTTTATGTATTATCAAGAGTCTGCTAAGGAAGGGAAAGTTAATGGGATATATAATATTGGACGTTGCTATGAAGAAGGAGTTGGCGTTGAGAAAGATAAAAATAAAGTGTTTAGATATTATCACGAATCTGCTAAGAAAGGGAATGTTGATGGGATATATAATATTGGACGTTGTTATGAAGAAGGAATCTGCGTCGAAAAAAATAAAAATAAGGCATTTATATATTATCAAGAATCTGCTAAGAAAGGGAATGCTAATGGGGTGTATAATATTGGTCGTTGCTATGAAGAAGGAATTGGCATTGAGAAAGACAAACACAACGCATATATTTATTATAAAAAATCCGCAGATATGGGACACAGTGAGGGATTATCTAAAATGAACACTCCTGATGGAATGTTTTATACGGGTGTTTTTTATGAAAAGGGAATTGAAATTCAAGAAGACAAAGATAAGGCATTTGTTTACTATACTAAGTGTGCTAAAATGGGGCATAGTGATGGAATGTTTCATGTTGGAATTTGCTATCAGGATGGAATTGGGATTATTAAAAATGTTCATAAGGCATTCAATTATTATCAAAAATCTGCAGAAAAAGGAAATATTAATGCAATGTATACCCTTAGTAATTGTTACCGAAAAGGCATTGGAACAACAATAAATGAACAAACGGCCGATTATTGGTCTCAAAGGTAAGTTTTATCATAAATAATTAATTATATATTTCGGTTAGAATTTTTATTTTTAACTGGTTCATTTATATAAATATCGACTTAGGGGAGACATTTCTTTATCAGGTAATTTGATCATTATGTTGTTATCTTTATAAATTTTATATCTAATCGCTGAAATTTTCTAGACACAAATGGATTCACACAAAATTCTGACATAAATGATGATTTGAAAAAGATTATAGATAGTTATCAATTGTCATATATTCCTTTTTGCGAATTTAAAAATACTCAAAAAATAGGACAAGGCGCATTTGCAACGGTATTTTACGCTAGATGGGAAGACCAAAATAATTTGACAACAGATGTTGCACTTAAATTGATTCATGAATCAAATAAAAATCCTGAAATGCTTATAAACGAGGTAATTTTTATATATTTCATTATTCTATTGAGCATACATAGTTATTATTTATCTAAATACCTTTTTTAAATAACAAAGCTAAAGGCATATTATATGTGTAGTGACAATTCCACATTTTTAAAATGTTATGGTATATCAATAGATGAAGCTTCAAAAGATTATATTCTTGTCATAGAGTATGCGTCAAAGGGTTCCTTGCGTAGTAATTTACACTCCATAATGAAAATGGAGTGGATGGACAAATTGACAATATTACTAAATATTGCACTTGACCTTCAGACAATTCATTCTCAAAATCTTATCCATCAAGATCTACATAGTGGTAATATATTACAAAACAGCTTGAAAGACGCATCTATTGCAGATCTGGGTCTTTTGAAATCAGTAGATATGTCATTAACAACAGAATCTAATGGAGTCTTTGGAATTTTGCCATATATAGCGCCGGAAGTTTTAGTAGGAGAATCATACACTATGGCATCTGATATTTATTCATTTGGCATAATTATGTGGGAAATTTCAGCAGGAAAACCTTTATGCTATGATCAAAAAGAAAATGATAACCTTATAAAAGATATCTGTGATGGTCTCCGTCCAACATTTGCAAAAGAAATACCGCAGATTTATATCGAATTAGCGAATCAATGCATGGATGCAAGTGCATCTGAACGCCCTTCAGCAAGTGATCTTCAAAGATATTTAAGCCGTTGGATAAATGAAAGTTTTTATATAAAAACCTTTAAAAAAGCAGACAAAATAACTAAGCATGATTCTGGACCTTCAAATAATTGTGTAAATACTGTAAGTACATACCAATTTATAAAACGTTTAAAAGGTTCAAAGCCTACGAACAAATTAAGCTCTACTTTATCACAAGGTGATGAATTCATTATTCTTGATTCAAATTTTGAAGCCAAATAAAGCACAATTTCTTTAGCTAGGTACCAACTTATACTTGCTTAGATGCCATCTAAATATAATGATGATTTTTAAATAGGGATTGGAATTGTTTAGTTAACTATAGAGCTTTTCTAGTGGTGGGGTGGGTATAGAAAGGAGCAAAAGTCTACAAAAATAAACTAAAACATTATCGCAATTAGGATAGCTGCGAGATGTAGTCGCGCTTAAACCAGGAACGTAATGTTATTAAAATCGTGAATCTTCGCACTATTGAATCCAAAAACTGGATGGTGCTCATTTCGCCGACACGACAGCCCATTTCACCGACAGTCAATTCACCGACAAGTTTATTCCGCCGACAGTTATTTCACCGACAATCATTTCACCGACAAAGTAATTCTGGTCATTTTCGTTAGGGTCAGATTAGAATTA